GCAACTTTTGAATGAAGACAATTTGTTAACTTTCTTCTGCATGCGATTCAATAAATTTTTTTTCATAGATCAAGTTATATTATAAGGTAAAGAAATCACGAGTAAACTATAACATCCACTGATGACACTAATATTACGTTGAATATATTTATATAATGGAGGTTTCATTATGCACATGCACATTACAGACTCTGTTAAATAAATACTGACACGTTTTTTAGTTTAATGACAGTCTCTATTTTTTACTAATGACTATGTATTTTTCTGTATAAAATAAGACAAACTAGTATATAAAAACCTTTTATATTTCTATTTTCTCTAAATTGTTTAAAGTTCGAATATGGATTGTATTTTGAAGGACAAAAAATTTCCTTTAAAAACTTTTAAATCTTAGGACTTTGCCGATGCTTTGCCGATGCGATGATCACAGAAAAAGAGAAGACTTACGTTATTAAAATCAAATGTAAGTTATGTGATCTTCATCAAAATAAAATATAATCCAAAAACAATTGCCCTGTCCTACGGTTTTAAATAACACAAGTCATGTTAAAATATTTTAACATGTTACTATATTTAATTTAAGTTGATATATAAATAAAAATAAAAATATAGTTTAATAAATAAATTAAATTTGTTCTTAACAAAGATTACCTCATGTTCATTCTTTTTTTATTTTATTAAGTTAAATTGCTCACAAACGAAGAAAAAAAAGAGTTTTTTTTTTTTTTTTGTAATTATACGTAGAATGAAAATACTTTTGAGTTTGTTTATAAGTTAAGGAACTTAATTTTTAATAAACAAATTTTTACGAACGTTTATTATAAACAGATACAATTCAAATTATTAAATATACTTATATTATTTTAGTTAAGTATTTTTTTAAGTTTGCACGATTAAAGTTTTGCGGAGAAGTATTTGTTTTTTGTTTTAAGAATAATTAAGAAAAGAGTTTGCACAATTAATACTTTTATATTTAATTTTAATTTCCTAAAATTTAAAAAAAAAAAGATTTAATTGTTAAAAACAATATTTCTCTATAGCTCTGTTTCTTTGTGATTTGTTTAAAATGTAAAACATTTTTACAATAACATAAAAAATTTATGAATTAAATTCCTGGCGAACGCGTTCTAAACTATGTATAAAAAATATGCTAAAAGCAGATAAAACGTTTTTATATTTTTATATAACGCAAGTTGAAACGCTAAGCAAGATAAATTTAAAAAAATATTCTTTCCTAAATTATTCTTTGCTAGTCAAAACAAAATCGCTGTTTAAATAACTAACATAGGTTTTTGTTTATCAATGTTAATATTTTTTGTTTACTCCAGAAATTTTTAAAATTAAAAAAAAATCATTATTTTTTATTCAATAACGATTTATAAACAATAATTATTCAAAAACAAATTTCAGAAATAAATAAAATATATATATATATTTTTTTTTTACTAAATAATATTGAACTAAAATTAATAATAAGATAACAATTGTAAACATTACAAACTTTTTATTATAAATTTACATTTAAAACGTTTATAGTTATTTGAGTTAATTGTTAAATTGAACAAGTTAGCGGTTATTTATTTCGGTAGTTAAAACACTTAACGTCTATAAAAAAAATAAAGATAATTTTATGACGTCAAATATTGCGTTAAGCTAATGCGTTAAGCACGTTTTTATTTAAAACAAGGCCTGTATATATATATATATATATATATATATATATATATATATATATATATATATATATATATATATATATATATATATATATATATATATATATAAACATATATATATATATATATATATAGATGTAGGTATATATATATATATAAACATATGTATATATAGATGTAGATAGATAGATATATATATAAACATATGTATATATAGATGTAGATAGATATATATAAAAATGTGTATATATAGATATATATATATATATATACATACATATATATATATATATATATATATATATATATATATATATATATATATATATATATATACATATATATATATATATATATAAATATACATATATATATATATATATATATATATATATATATATATATATATATAAACAAATGTATATATAGATGTAGATATATATATTTATATTAGGGATGTACCGAAGCTATAACTTTGCCGAAGCCTAAGCTTAAGCACTATATATGCTTAAAATTTAATCAGCATTTAGATCAGCAGGGGTGTAAAACAAAAAAGGTATCAAAACTAAGGTCCTTGACTAATAATATAGAAAAATTGTATAAAAATGAGGATGCCAGTCAGGGTTGCTGTCCCAGGCAGGGCAAAAGCTCTGAGCGCCCCTGTTTGAAAGTTTCTCATTATGTTGTTTTTGATACTTGACCGCACCAAGCATTTTTTTTTTAAACTTAAGCTTTTTTGAAACATTCTCCCCAAATTTTCCTACTTCTAGTTCTACTTTTTCTGTGTGCAAACCATATTAATGTTATATAGCATCTTTTCATGT